ACATTGTAAAATATCAGGGTCTTTTCACCCATCCGTGTTTGGTCATTTTATCTGCAGTCATCAGAAGGAAAACCCTTAAGTGCAAGGGCCGCAGAGGCTTACAGACAGAGAAAGCAAGGCAGTGGGCAGGGGAGAGCTGGGGAAACTGTTACGAGTCCACAGTCAAGGTTAGGGGAAAAGGTATCCCCCAAAAAAGAGAGCCGCTGATGGTAGATCAGAAGATGAAAGGAAAAGAGGCTGCAAGGCTAGATCCTTAGGGAAGAACACACTGGGACCTGGCTGGGGCAGAGATGAGAATCTGGAAGGTCCACCAGCATATTAAGACACTCCCACAGAGAAAAGGACAAAAACCATACCAAACTCATTGCCATCAAGTCCATTCTGACTCACAGTGACCCTATAGGACAGAGTAGAAGTGCCCCATAAGGTTTCCAAGGAGGGGCTGGTGGATTCAAACTGCCGACCTTTTGGTTAGCAGCCAAGCTCTTAACCACTGCGCCACCAGGGCTCCAGAGAAGGAACAATCAGAGAATAACTCACTGTGTGGGATCCACCTTACCTAGATCTGCCATCCACTGAATCAGCATGTGGACAAATGTGGCCAACACATTGCCCCCATTGAGGGATGCTGCCACCCCCAGGTAGGTCCTGTCAAAGTACGGGAAGTAGGCGACTGGAGCCAAGGGGTCTGGAGTCTGCACCGGCTGGAATCCTGAAGGCATGGAGGCTGCCAGCTGAACTGAGGTGCTGATATTGAGAACTAGGGGTCCAAAGAAAGCAGAAGTCAGGCCTGGCAAGCTAAGCTGAATGTCACAAGTCACAACAGGGCAGTGGGAGAGTGTGGTGGCTTTAAAAAATAGGTCCACAAATTCTTTAATATGCTTCCTTCCAAGAGGTAGAGCCTAACTCCCCTCTCCTTGAGCATGGGCTGGACTTAGTGACTTGCTTACAATGAATAGAATAAAACAGAAGGGGCAGTAGGTGACTTCAGAGACTAGGTCATAAAAACGCACTGCAGTTTCTGTCTTTGTCACTTTCTCTCAGATCACTTGCTCCAGGGAAAGGCAGCTGCCATGTCATTAGTATCACTATGGAGAGGCCCACATGGCAAGGAACCGAGAGGCCTCCTGCCAATAGCCATATGAGTGAGCTTATAAGCAGATCCTCCAGCCAAGTCAAGCCTTCAGATGACTGCAGCCCCAGCCAACAGCCTGACTACAAACTCCTGAGAGACCCTGAGTGAGCCAGAACCATCCAGCCACTCCCAGAGCCCTAACGCTCAGAAACTATGCGATATAATAAATGCTTGTATTTAAGCTGCTGAGTATTGGGGCAATTTATTACACAGCAATAGATAACTAATACAGAGAATAAAACCTCACAGCCAGTGTTTTATTCACTGGGGAGGCTTCATTCATCTGCAGCAAGTACCATCTCCTTCTCACTTCCCAGGGACATTTCCAAGGCATTCTTCTTAACCTCCTCCCCCCCACCCGCCCCACCAGCAGGGAAAGCTCCTCAGCCCAGCACAGAGAGGATGATTTTCCCCACAAGTTCTGGGACAGAGCCTGTGGATTGCTCTAGCGCTAACTTCTCCTCCCTTTCTCTTGAGACTTGGCCAAAAAAGCCAGCCTTCTCAGCCCGCTGGAAGCCAAACTAACTGAAGTCAGCCTTCAGTTTTCCCACCTCCTGGGGGCTGGAAGAAAGAAGAGCCCAACATTTACTTCATGGTATCCACAAAGCGTTACTGGAACACAGTCACGCTAATTTGTTTACGTACTGTCTGTGGCCGCTTTCGCCCTCCAAGAGCAGAGTTAAGGCACTGCAACAGAGGCCATTTGGTCCACAGAGCCCAAAATATTTACTCTCTGGCCCTTCACAAAAGTTTGCCAACCCCTGCCCTAGACTGCCACTGCCACCTCACTGTGATATCTCTTTTCCTGAATACAGAAAAGATCCTGCACTTCCAATCAGACCTGATATCTTTTATTGACAAATGCACAACAATAAAAGCCCTAATCTGCTCATCTAGTTTCTCGGTTGTGGAGTTAAACAGAAACCAGCCAACTGCAGAGAGCATTTTCCTCCCTGGCCCTACAAGGTGGTGGGCACAGGTTTTGGAACATTTGTCCTTGTCCAGGGAGAAAACCTGCCCTGCTGGACCATAAGCTCCCTAAGCAGAGGGTTTCATCTGCAGGGATGAGGATGTTTGCCACCTTACAGAATGCTAATTGCCATCAGGTGCTGACACTGTCCCTCAGACCTGAGCACAGAGCTGCTGCCCAAGACACTCACCTGCATCTGTCCTTTGCGCCATGCAGGAATAGACGGAAGCCTGTAAATCACCCAGCGCCACTCCCACCTCTGTCCCCTTCGGGATTTCAAACCACGCATGGGAAGTCCTGCCTGCCACACTGCCAGGCTCTGCGATGTCCGGGAGCAGGTGGACGGGAAAGCCTGAGGCCTTCAGTCTGTAAGACGGAAGCAGACACCTGTATTTACCTGGCGTTTGGATCTCTGTTGTTTCCAGGAAACTCAGCATGGAAAGAGCTATAGGACACACGCACAAGAAAGGGGGACAGAACCCAGTGCTTTCTCAGACAGCCTCTTTGAGAGTTTTTAAAACCATGAGCCATAGGCTTGGACTTTTAAAATAGTGAACACTGGCTTTCAAAAGCTTGGGACTCACCTTTTGGGGGCCAAAACAACTAGCGTAAGTAGTAGACACCAGGGTGGATTAGATAAGAGCCAGGTATCATCAAAATACCAGCCTCCTGTGTTTGAAGGGAACACAAACTCTCTACAAATGGAGGCCACTGGGGTTTGAGTACAAAGCTATAGTTGTTTAGCCAAGTCCAAACCAAATTCAGAGCCATCAGCCTCCTGAATATCAAACGCATTCATCACTCAGGGTTAGTGAATACAGGGTGGTCAATTTTACAGAACATGCTAGAAAGTCCTTTACCTGAACTACCAGCTGCTTTTTTTTTTTTTTTTTTTTTTTTTTCAGAATTCAGAATTTGAGCCCTGATGGAAGTAAAGTTATAGGGCACTGGACTTCTGTACCTGAAAAGGCAAAACGATTGTTCAAAAAGAACTTAGAAACAGTCCCTCAAGCCTACTACTTCTATTTCTTAACCTTATTTGACAATGTGTTAGAAAGTGACAGTAGTCCTTTGAAATCTACAGGTGGAGCCTGGGGTCACAGAGAACTGGGGAGCCCGCCCCAGGTCTGGGCTACAGTGGAGGAGGAGCAGGACAGCGTGGTGCAGTGGGCAGAGCCCCCATGCCACACTTTCTCTTACATCCGGGCCCACGTGAGTGACTGAAACAAGCTGGGGGGCCCTGGACCTGATTCCTAGCTTCTAGCAATCCTCTGGAATCCCTGGGTGGTGCTCAACTGCTAATCTAAAGGTTGGTGGTTTGAACCCACCCAGCAGCACCGCAGAAGAAAGGCCTGGCAATCTGCTTCCATAAAGATTACAGCCAAGAAAACCCTATGGATCAATTCTATCCTGTAACACATGGGTCGCTGTGAGTTGGAATTGACTCGATAGCAATGGGTTTGGGTTTTTTTTGCCCTTCCCAAATGGGAACCCCCCGCTGCAGTTCACACTCTGCAGATACCCTTCTGCCTGGAGCCCACCTGCTGAGGGTAAACTCACGTCTCCAAGTTCCAGCTCTGGCTCTGGGTGTTGAAGTATCCCCAGCTAGCAGCGTTCTGGTCCGACATCAGGGGTCTTGGCAAGCCACACAACGTGGCAACCACATAGTCCTGGATGGTGCCGGCCACATCATAGGATTTTAGGAATTCTGGGCTGTTTTTCACACCAAAAACAATTCATTGTGGTCTATTATTGTCTCAAAAGCATTTGCTGCACCTTGCTGTGGGCAGTGGGGACTAGACGTGGCATCAGCCAGGTAGCAGCCAGAATTCCACATGCTGTGGCCAGTGGCTCAAGTACAGCTGGAGCTCCTGGGGTGAGGATCTGGCAGGAGCAGCGCTAGGGGAGGGGACTTACGGGAGGACATGCCATGCCTGGGAAAGCAGGACATCGGCCGTTCTCAGCAGCCCTGAGCCCTGACCCCACCATGAACTCACCACAGGACATTTGGCAAATCCCTTGCCCTCTCTTTCTTCCCCCTCTGGGTTAGAATTGATAATCCATAGAAGGCCCTTTGGGAAATGAAGCAGTTCTAGACCAAGATCAGGTCTTGTGACCATGCCCTATGCCAGACCTCACTCCCTGAGGCTCCGTCCAGCAGGTGGAGATACAGCCTCCTGCCCACTCACCTTCCCTGGGAAATCCAGCATCCAAGTCAAAGAACAGGTGTCTGTACCTATTTTTCAAAAGCCAGAAGATGGTTGAACAGCCAAACCCAGTGGCCACGCTGAGATGGGACTCAGGCTGGGGCAGAGAAGCCAGGAACTCGCTGCTACACCGGCCATCCTGCCATGTGACCAGGTGGCTCACGACTCTGGGCTCGAACACAGGGGTGGCCTCTCCCTCTGTCCATTCACAGCCTGTAACAAAGGAGATCCCCAGCAACAAAGGACATAATAACTGACCAGGCACCAGCATGTCCTGAGACTACTCTGCTGATGAGCTTACAACACACACAGTATCACCCTATGATAACGCTCTGCTCACACACATGAATTCTGGTATCAGAGCACCTGGGTTTAGTACGTGGCTCTGCCATATTACAGCTGTGTGACCCTGGGCAAGTCACTCCCTCCATTTGCCCCACTTCTTCTATGTTTCTTTGTATTCATTTTGTTTAAGTTGATGTCTTAGTTACCTAGTGCAGCTGTAACAGAAACACCACAAGTGAGTAGCTTTAAAGAACAGAAACCCATTTTTTCACAGTTCAAGAGACCAGAACTCAAAATTCAGGGTATGGCTCTGGGGGAAGGTCCTTCCTTATCAATTTCAGCTTCTAGTGGCTGCCAGCAATCCTTGGCATTCCTGGGCTTATAGATGCATCTGTCTCCATCATTTATCTTACTCTTCCCCCTGCATATGTCTCTGTGTCTATTCTGCTCCTTTTATAACTCAGGAGTGATTAGGTTTAGGACCCACCCTGCTCAGGTATGGCCTAACTAACATAACAAAGAAAACTCTATTTCCAAACAGGATCACATCCACAGGTATAGAGGCCAGGACTTCAATACAGATTTTGTGGGGGTCACAATTTGATCCACAGCAGTTGATATATCTCCTCTCTGGAAATAACATAGGTTTAGCACACTCTCAAGTTCTGTAGTCTCCGTCCTTCCAACCCTCCTCATGATGATATCATCTATGCTTTTAACTTTGATCATTGTGATACATTTTCCCTTTTTCTTTGGTCATAGCTAATTGATTTTTAGATATCAAAATTTACTAAAGAATTTGACTACCTATTCATATATCTCTCAAAACATCTGGATTTTCCTCTGCTCTCATTTAAATGCTTCATCCAAACTGTTTCCAGTGTAGGTCTTTGTGACAAAGCTTCCGAAGGCTTATATGCCTCAGAATATTTTTATCATGTACTGATATTTGAATGACAGCTTGATCAATTATCATATTCTAAGTTCTAATTTCCTTATCTTCAATACTTAAAAATACAATTTGTGACAGATTTAAAATTGCTGCAAATTCTTTGCTACTCCTCCTGTTAAGAGGTAGAGTCTATTCAGGCAGCTAACAGACACATGAGAAAATGCTCAAGATCACTAGCCATTAGAGAAATACAAATCAAAACTACAGTGAGATACCATCTCACCCCAACATTACTGGCACTAATCAAAAAAACAGAAAATAACAAATGGTGGAGAGGTTGTGGGAAGATTGGAACTCTTATGCGCTGCTGGTGGGAATGCAAAACAGTACAACCATTCTGGAAAATAATATGGCACTTCCTTAAAAAGCTAGAAATACCATATGATCCAGCAATCCCACTCCTAGGAATACATCCTAGAGAAATAAGAGCCGTCACACAAACAGACACATGCACACCCATGTTCACTGCAGCACTATTCACAATAGCAAAAGGATGGAAGCAACCTAAGTGCTCATCAACAGATGAATGGCTAAACATACACACAATGGAATAGTACGCAATGATAAAGAACAATGATGAATCTGCAAAACATCTCACAACATGGATGAATCTGGAGGGCATTATGCTGAGTAAAATATGTCAGTCACAAAAGGACAAATACTGCATGAGACCACTATTATAAAAACACATGAAAATGTTTCCACACAGAAAGAAACAATCTTTGATGGTTAAATGGGAGGGGTGAGGAGTGGGAGGGAAAAACACTAACTAAATAGTAGATAAATGGTAATTTGGTGAAGAGTAAGACACAATACTGGGGAAGTCAGCACAACTTGACCAGGGCAAAGTCATAGAAGCTTCACAGACACATCCAAACACCCTGAGAGACAGAGCTACTGGGCTGAGGGCTGGGGACTATGGTCTCAGGGAAATCTAGCTCAATTGGCATAACATAGTCTGTAAAGAAAATGTTCTACATCCAGCTGTGGTGAGTATTAACTAGGGTCCTAAAAGCCAGCAAGCAGCCATCTAAGATACAACTACTGGTCCCATCCCAGCTGGAGCAAAGGAGAATGAAAAAGACCACAGACACAAGGGTAAGATTAGTCCAAAGGACTAATGGACCACAACTACCACAACCCCCACCAGACTGAGCCCAGAACAACTAGATGGTGCCCGGTTACCACCACTGACTGCTCTGGCAGGGATCACAACAGAGGACCCCAGACAGTATGGGAGAAAAATGTAGAACAAAATTCAAATTCACACATACACACACACACACAAAAGACCAGGCTTGCTGTCTGACAGAGACTGGAGAAACCCCGAGAGTATGGCCCCCGGACACCTTTTAACTCAGTACTGAACTCACTCCTGAGGTTCACCCTCCAGCCAAAGATTAACAGGTCTATGGGGCCAACAATACTATGCATGAGGGACATGCTTCATAGTTCAATCATGTATACTAGATTAATGGGCACACCCACCCAAAAGCAAAACGAGAAGGCAGGAAGGGACAGGAAAACTGTATGAATGGAAACAGGGAAACTGGGGTGGAGACGGGGAGAATGTTGACACATCACGGGGTTGGCAATCAATGTCAAAAAACAATTTGTGCATTAACTGTTTAATGAGAAACTAATTTGCTCTGTAAACTTTCATCTAAATCACAATTAAAAAAAAAAAGAGGTGGAGTCTAAATCCTCTTTCCTTGAATTGGTGCTGACCTTAGTGACTTGCTTGGACAACAGAATGTGGTGGAAGTGTCATCCTAGGACTCCCAAGGCTAGGTCATAAGAAACCTTACAGCTCCCACCCACGCTCACTCTGGAGGAAATAGCCATCATGTAAAAGTCCAACTACCTTGAGACCACCATGCTGGAGAGGCTACATGGAGAAGCCACACGTAGAGCTCTGGCCAACTGCTCCTCGTTGAGTCCAGCCTTTCCCACCAAGGCACCAGGAATTGAGTGAAGCCATCTTGGACCATCTAGACCAGACCAGATAACTACCGAGCAACTTGTCAACTCCCTGCAGAACAGAAGAATCACTCAGCTGAGCCCTGCCCAATTCCTGACCCATGAAATCACAAGAACAATAGTTGTTTTAAGCACTAAGTTTGGAGGTAGTTATGCAGCAATTAAAAAAAAAAAATCCACTGCTATCAAGTCAATTCTGACTCATACCAACCCTACAGGACAGAGCAGAACTGCCCGATAGAGTTTCCAAGGAGTGGCTGATGGATTCATACTGCTATCCTTTTGGTTAGCAGCCGTAGCTCTTAACCACTCTGCCACTAGGGCTCCTATGCAGCAATAGATAATCAAAATAGTATCCCATTGCCTTCTTACATAGAGGGTTGTTGTCACAAAAAAAAAAAAACTAATGTCAATCTGCTTATTCCTTTATATAGAATCTGATCTTTTACTCTGTAAGCTTTTAGAATTTTCTTTTTGTCTCTGAAATCCTTCAAATTTCACTATATCTAGCAGTGGGTTTTTCCTCATCTCTCTTCTTTGGCATTCTGTGGGCCCTTTCAGAAAGTCTGGAGTGTTCTATCTTATTCTTTCAATTATGGAAAATAATTCTCCATTATTTCTTCAAATATTTCCTCTTCTCCACTTTTATTTTTCCCTTTCTGGGTCTCCTATTATTTAGATGTTAGCGCTTCTATTTGTATTCTCAATATCTCTTAGCTTTTCTTTTGTATTTTTCTACTTCTTGGTTCCTTCCTTCTTCCAAAAGATTTCCTCAATCTGGTCTTTCATTCTCTTATTTGTTCTGAGGTTCTATCCTTTCTGTTATTAATCCCATCTATTATGTCCTTTATTCCGACTGTTGTATTTCTCAAACTTAGTATTTCTGCTTGGTTTTTTTATGTGTTCTTCTTGATTTTTCCATGGTAAAATCTTCCTCTAATATATTTCAGTATGTGTATCAAGCTGATAGTTGACAGCATGTCATGGATTGAGTTGTGTCCCCCAAAAATGTGTGTCAACTTGGATAGGCCATGATTCCCAGTACTGTGTGATTGTCTACCATTTTGTTATCTGATGTGATTTCCCTGTGTGTTGTAAATCCTATCACTATGATACAATAAGATGGATTGGCAGCATTTATATTGATGAGATCTACAAGATTGGATAGTGTCTTGGGCTAGTCTCTTTTGAGATATAAAAGAGAGAAGTGAGTGGAGAGACATGGGGACCTCATACCGCCAAGAAAGCAGTGCCAGGAGCAGAGCATGTCCTTTGGACCTGAGGTTCCTGCAGTGAGATGCTCCCAGAACAAGGGAAGACTGATGCATCACAAGGACCTTTCTCCAGAGCCAACAGGAAGAAAAAGCCTTCCCCTGGATCTGGCGTCCTGAATTTGGACTCTAGCCTACTAGACTGCGAGAGAATAAACTCCTCTTTGGTAAAGCCACCCACTTGTGGTATTTCTGTTATAGCAGCACTAGATGACTAAGACATAGCACCACATACAACTGTTTCAAGATTTGGGAGCCAAGACTGTTACATTTTCTTATAAATCTGCTCATTAAGAACCAAAGAAAAAGACTTAATCCCTGCCCTTAGTTCTAGGCCATGAAACATACATCCATTCATTCATGCATACATGACATATTTAATCGAATGTTTTAGGCACTGGTTCTAGGCCTTGAGGATACAGCAGTGAACAAGAAAAAGTCCCTGCCCTCTTGAAGCTTATATTGTAGGAAGGGAGACAGACTATAAACAAGCAAATACATCATGCCCGGTGATGTAGGTGCTATAAAGAAATGTACAGCAGGGTAAGGCGAGGGAGAGAGATAGGTTGTTGGGGGTGATCATGGAAGTCCTCTCAAGGTGACATGTGAGGAAGGACCTGAGTGCAATAAGGAAGTGAGCCATAACAATATCTAGGGGACACGTGCTCCAAGTAAACAGAACAGCAAAGGCAAAGGCCTTGAAGGGATCTTGTCAACCAACCCCT